ATCCCCAGTAGGAGGTGTGCAGGAGGCAGCTGATTGATGTTTCTCTCTCATCGATGTTTCTAACTCTCTCTACCTCTCCCTTCCTCTCTGTAACAAGTCAATAAAATATATTTAAAAAGAAAAAAGAAACATCAATGATGAGAGAATCATTGATCGGCTACGTCTTGCACGCCCCCTACTGGGGATGGAGCCCGCAACCCGGTTCATAGGTTGATGCTCAACCACTGAGCCGCACCAACAAGGCCCTGCATGAACTTCTTGCCCTGGTTTCCTCTCTCACAGCTATGTTTTCTCTCCTCCTCACTACGTTCCCCTCCTCCCTTCTTCCTCCTCCCTCTTCCAGAACCTGGGCAGGGCCTGCAGCATGGACCCACGCCCTCTGTCGCTCCGTGCCCGGCTCTCTCCAGAGCCGTGTCTCAGCAGCCGTGGCTCAGGCTGAGGGCAGAGCTGTCAGATTCCCTTTCTCGGGCCGCAGAGCGAGACCAGTCTCCCGAGGCCTCTGGGTCGGCAGGATGGGCCCATCCCTGCTCCCACTGTCCCAACCCCGGGGCTGCCCACAGACGCCACTCAAATCGTAACAAAGCCCTGCACTCCGCCCGTGGGAAGAGAAAAGGACACGCCAAGGTCATTCGTAAGGGACACAAGTAGTCGATCACACGTGAGCTTTAGTTCCATGTGTCGTCCAGGAAACTCGAATGAGAGCAGGTCCGTGGTGAAAGCTGGTCAGGACGGCGATGTCTGGGTCCCAGCCGTGACGCAGGACGTGGGGACTCAAATTCTGCTGCGAGAGTGTAAGCTCTTCAGAGCAGTTTGGCAAAACGGACCACAAACCTACTCCTCCACGACTGCAGGCCCTGCGTTCCCACGCGCAGGCGTTCATCCCCGTGAAATCAGAGTGAGCTGTTGGCAGAGGGTTTTGCCCAGGTTGTCAAGCGTGGGCAGCTTTCCTAGTGGCACACGGTGCCATCCGGTGCCACAGGCAGGCGATAGACAGAAGGGGCTGGTACTCCCGTCGGCCACTGAAAATCGTCGACAGATACTTAAAGGGGAGGATTGTTCAAGTCCTAAATCTTAGAAAGAAACAGGTTACAACCTCTGTGCTGCAATAATTGCATTTTGTGGCAAGAAAATCAATGAAACAATATGTACTGACATGTTCATCTGGCTACAGCTCATGTTTTATCAGACACAAAGATCTCAGAAACGCTTATTAAAAAAGAGAGAGAAGCGAGCCCGGCCAGCGTGGCTCAGGGGTTGAGCGTTGACCTAGGAACCAGGAGGTCACAGTTCAATTCCCAGTCAAGGGTACATGCTGAGGTTGTGGGCTTGATCCCCAGTGGGGGGCATGCAGGAGGCAGCCAATTGATGATTCTCTCTCATCATTGATGTTTCTCTCTCTCGCCTTCCTTCTCCCTTCCTCTCTAAAATCAATCCTATCCTATATAATAAAAGCCTAATATGCAAATCGATTAAAGGCAGAACGTCCGGTTGCTATGATGCACACTGACCACCAGGGGGCAGAAGCTCAATGTTGGAGCTGCTCCCTCGTGGTCAGTGCACTCCCATAGGGGGAGCCCCGCTCAGCCAGAAGCTGGGCTCATAGCTGGCGAGCGCGGCGGAGGTGGCGGGAGCCTCTCCCACCTCTGCAGCAGCCCTAAGGATGTCCAATGGCCCACCCCCCACCATGGGGAGTGGGCCTAAGCTGTCAGTCGGACATCCCCCGAGGGCTCCTGGACTGCGACAGGGCACAGGCTGGACTGAGGGACTGCCCCCTCTGAGCACATGAATTTCGTGCACCGGGCCTCTAGTAAAA